TCTCTCTGTCTCTCTCTTTATATCTCTCTCTTTCTCTCTCTCTTTCTCTCTCTCCCTCTCTCTCTCTCTCTCTCTCTCTCTCTCTCTCTCTTTTTTTTCCTTCTCATTCCCTCTATTTGTCTGTCTCTTTTCCTCTGCCTTTCCCCTTCTTTGGCTGTTGTATTCTTCGCGCTCTCTCTGTCTCTCTCCCGAGCTCTCTCTTCTGTGCGTGCATGTGTGTGTGTTCGTGAGTATGTGTGTGTTAGTGTGAGGGCCTTAAATGTGGGTGTCCGTGTGAGTGTCGTGTGCCTCTTTGTGCCCATGTAACTGTCTTGTTTTCACACCAGAAAATGGAGGCTTTCCAATTTATTTGCATTCTTTACAACACTTTACTTTTTTTTTTTTAATCTGTCATTCAATCTGTTTCTACCAGTCGAGCCTGCACTTCCGTCCCGACAAAGATTTGCTTTAAAAAGTTTCGAATGAGGGTGTCTATAAGCTATATTGTCACTCTTAAAAAGTTATATTAGATGTATTGTTTAACCATTGTGATTTTGTTGTTACTCTACATACGCTTAGCTCTTAGACACTTTAATCTGCGCTCTGGCTTGGAATATATAATGCACACATTTCATTAAGTTTGTTAAGAAGGTCATGTTATAGTAAATTTTAGTAAGTTAGGCTTCCAGTATTAACACAATAAAGTGATGACTCTTTTATTGTTTTTTAATGTAAATGCTTTCTATGCACCCCGTTGAGACACTTATATCATTTGGGAAACGGGCATCAACCCTGCCTGTTACGGCCAACCCACACTGAAAGGGATACAACATCCCAGCAGAAACACCAAGACACCTGACAGAAATTCTTCCCACACAGAAATGGAACTCAAGTCTTATGCATGCGCCAGCTAAGCTCCTAACCGTTGCACCACAGAAAGCAGCAGGAAGCGATACGTGCATTTTGATAACAACTATCAATATATAGGTAATAACAGTAAAATAAATGTCTGTGTACCGTAGCAAGGTCAATGACAAATCTCTCTCCTGATTTGACTTTTAAGCCAAGCTTGTTCAGGTTGAAGTCAAAGGAATAGTCAGCTTCAGTCTGAGGAAAATAAAAGAAGTAGCTATTATCTAGTCTAGAACGATGCATTTTGGTGGCTTTGTTAAGTTTGAGGCAAAACATTAACAAGATGGGGAAAGCATAACTGATGTGAAGGAAATGAATGTGTAATGAAGCGATAACAGAGGAAGAAACGAAGCTCAGCAAAAGAATGATAAAAAGAGAAAAGCAGAGAAAAACTCTGCTCTACTTCAAAAGAAGATCTCCATCGCTCATACACATGCACGATGCATGTGTGAGGACGTTTCTTTACCAGTTTGAAATCCCAACACAATAGCAACACAATCCCCATTATTCTACATTGTTTGTTGCGATCAATTTTGCCGTCGAGATACAGATAGGAAATTTTCTCTCTCACACACATTCACACACACACAAACAAACACACACACACATGCACATCCACATACACACATACACTCACACGCACACAAGCATACATAGACACACACACACACACACACACACACACACACACACACACACACACATACGTACACACACAAACACACACACACACACACACATGTATGCACACACACGTACGCACGCGAGGAGAGGTAGAGAGGGCGAAAAAGAGAGAGCGAGAGAGAGAGAGAGAATGTGAGAGGAAAACAGATATATATAATATATTTATATATATATATATATATATATATATATATATATATATATATATATATATATATATATATATATATATATAATATATATATAAAATATGTAATCCTCCTTATTTATTTTTTATTTCTGGTATACCTGAGTGCAAGCGAAATTGGTTTTAATTGTCTTTGTGGGCATTTCCAAGGTATTAAAATTTTGTTATTTCAACTCACTTCATCAACTAGGTTGATGACTTTTCCAGAGATCTGCTTGGGCATGCAAATGGTTGTTACGTCGACGGCGTGGCATACCACAAGTGGAGCAAAAACACAGAGCAGAGCAAGGAACTGCATGACGTCTATGGAGAAAAGAACAGAAAAGATAACGCTAAGTATTTCAAATGGTAGACACTATAACACTGAGCACTGCGTATTGTAAAAGAATATGTTAGTGGCAAAATATAGTCGTCAGTTTCTCAACAAGGAAATGACCAAGTTCATAAAAGTTAAAACAGGTAAATAGCTTTAGTTAAGTTTTTATTTGTTCCTAGATATGAAAAAACAGCATAGAATAAGTAAAAGGATTCTACTATATCGATCCTGTGAGGATATTTGTTTTACAATGACTAAACATACATTTCGGACACACAAAGCGGAAAGAAGCATTAGAGAACATTGTAACAACAGGAAAGTTTGATGGAAAGAGAGGTAGAGGCAGACAGAGGGAAAAGATACTGGACAAGATGACAACATGGCTGGGAGCAGCAAGAACAACAGACACCATTGCTGCTTCGAAAGACAGAGGGAAGTGGAGGTCCATGATCGCCCACGCCAGTCGGCAAGGCACCGGATGATGATGATGAAACATACATTATCCATTATATATACGTATTTATAAAGATGCATAAAAACACATGGATATACTACAAACACGTCATTACAGGTTGCCAGTGTGCAGCGCCTGTCTTTTTAGCTAGTGTTATGGTGTCTTGCTCAAGGACATACCTCAGTGACCACCAACCTGAATACAGCGTCACAAAGTATTCGCGGCATTTATTGTGAGTCTAAGCTCACTAACCGCTCGGCCACTGGAGACCTCGCGATGTCCTAGCAATAAGGTACGTAACTTCTCGCTTTGGCACCTGGAAGTCAGCTTTTCGCATCCTTATCCACTTCTCGTTCGCTCTGACTTAAAACCGAAGGACTGGTTTGTTACAGTCCGCTTACCGCAGAGATCAGATATTGCTGAGCCGCCTGAGCAATATGGGTGTAGTAGGACGATACACTCATACAAACAAGTAAGGAAGTACAGGACCAGTACGATTTACTGCTTGGAAGTATTTGGCCTATGGACACTCATCCCACATCCTGGTGGGCGGGAGTGTCATTGCGTTTCGAAAGAAATAAGCAGAACAAAAACATCCATGTTCTTATTAGGATTTAATAAGACGCTGTGAATTTGAGGGCCGCTTGATGCAATATAATGTGATAAAGACAATCCAATTTAACAAGCCTGACTCTCGTTTTACACCCCAGGGCCAGCTGATACACAAATCAGACAGGGGTAGAGAGAAGAAATACAAATGCTTTTCATTTTAACAAAATACTATTCATTATGACACCAATCAGATTTAGACTCATAATGACTCGAAACCACCACCACTTGAACATGAGTTTGGCTATCTAAATACAGCACTACAGGCGTTAAGTTTTCAGAATACGTGTATTTATACTGACCATACCTTTACTGGATATAATTTATTTTTTCAAAATGTTGTATTTAACAAACGACGACAGGTATCGTATGATACAGTATATGATAAAATTATCACAATTTTACCGTTGACCAAGATTGTTTTTTGAAAAGGTTATTGTTTTACTTACTGAAGTATATAGAAGTAGAGCAAACAGGCTGAGTTAGGACAAGTTGTACCAACAGTCAATACTGGAGATGTTTTAGTAATTGCTGGGGAACTGTATCTCTTGTTCTAATTTATAGCATCAGACTGAGAGCCGGCAAAAACTACAATATGTTTGGAAGTGTTATCTTTTGAAAAAGTTTGGCAAAGAAAACAAAAAGCCCGATAAAGACAAAGACAAGTGAAAAACAAATCAAGGCCAGTCTGCCCAGATTGTACCCTACATTGACATGGGAACTACAGTTTCATGTGCCAGGTGGCATGAAAAAGTCCAGCACAATGCAGGTCACATGGCACTTGGGCTACATTCTGACTATGTAGGTCACTGAAGTCGTATGGGAGGGAAAAAACGAGTCCGAGAAGTCCAGTAAACGAGGTTTCGTTCTCTTTAGAGAATACGTTACGTCTTAGGCAGTTTTGTCTATACTGTAAACATTTTTGGTCCCCTGTCCTGATTTGGTGCCGGCTATTTCTAAGCAAAAAAAGTGTCCACATGGTCGTGATTGCTGTGTTTTAAGAGGAAATGAAATAGGAAAATGAATATTGTTTGGTGATTGGTGATGATGATGATGATGATGATGATGATGATGATGATGATGATGATGATGATGAGAGAAAGGACAAAGAAGACGACGACGACGTTGAC